ATTTAATACCTATTACTGGTTGGCAGAGCAAAATGGATAAAAAATATTTTCAGTATAAAATTAAACCCCACGACAAAGTTACGTCGTCGAAATCAAGTAGCACTGTAATAATAGAGGAAAGTCGAGCAATTTGGACCAATTTTTTTGCAGTCGCGTTTTAAATTTAGTTTATTTTTTGATTAGACAAATGTTTACGGTTATAAAAATAAAAAAGAACTACGAAATATGTAGGTCCAATGAGAGGTGCCGTGTTTATGCTCACCAGATGGCGCGATAGTCGCTTGAGGTCTGTTAAAATTTGGTGCCTACGAGATTGAACTTATCGAACGTGAACTCTAACCTCTCATTTGGCTGTTCTTTCATCCCGCTCTAATTTCACAAAACTTTTTCTTAACTTCGTTTCTAAAGCGCTGACATTTATTTTTACCCAGAATTTATAATTGCATTTATAAATCTCAGGCACCCTAAAATAAGAGCAAAATTCGTTTGTTTGAAAAAAAAACGCGTGTAGTTCAGTGACTTTTTAATATTATGAAGACCTCACGCTACACTAGCGCCTCTAGCGGCCAATTCAAAGCTGCCTCATCGAACTTCCGGTCCAATTTACCATACTTTCGCCTGATAATAACTTATAATAAGACAATGATTGACTAACTCCATTAGAAGCCCGGATCGAGGTTTTCCAACCGTGGCGGAAAATTGCGTTTCCAACTCCCCCCAACTCCCCCGCCCTCCTCCCCCCGTTACAGGCTACACTTATTTGTCAACGGAGTTTCCAACCCGAAGTTACGAAGCAGCCATTTGGAGCCCCCCCCCGTCTCCCCCTCCCCCCTTTAGTCCGCCACTGCAATAAGGTGTAATGTACTCACGCGTTCAATATCCGCGTGGTCATCTTGGGTATCGGTGGCGCGTCTCAGTCTGACTCTTGAAGCCAACTTAGTCTGACACCCTCCGCTGCCCACTGAACAATAATCATTAAATAAATTAACTAATATGTGTGTAATGATATAAACGTCCCGCGATCGTTGTTGTTAAGCAACTTTCGCGTGGGTCGGCCACGGGATGGGTGACCGAAACATTATTATATCGAGCTAAGCCGTTAGTTTCGGCTGAATCCCATTCAATTCTATCAATAGAAAATGCCATGAAATGCAATAGGGACAATATTAGGCCGGTGATGTGATGAACTGCTATTAGATAGATAGATAATTCTTTATTGTACAAATAAAGACAAAATACACTTATATGACGAAAACAGGAATAAGGAAACGTACAATAAGGAAGTATTTAAAAAAAAAAATAGTTCCCGAAATCAAACTAGATGTCGCTACAATACGTTCTTGATTTCTCCATGACAACCCTTCCGGTTTTCTTTCATGTTTAAAAGTAAATTAGTTTTCAAAACTCAATAAACAACTCATATTCTATTTGTACATTTACATATCTAAGTTTCGAACTTTGCAAATTTCAGTTTTTTAATATGTTAGTTAAAAGGAACGGAAATGACTGTCTTTGGTCCATTCGTTTCCGGCAAAAATCAACTTTTGCTAGAGTCGCCATCTAGTGGAGGTGCTTTTTAGGGCTTTCGTTTTTTTTTTCAAATACTTCCTCATTGGCGTCCTTATCACTAAAATCGATCTCTTCCAGGAACCTTGGGTTGGAGTTAAATATAAAAGACCTAATGATGAGGTCGTGGATCTCTAATCTGCATTGGGCTCGAACCCGAGAGGGTCATGTATTATAATTGCTTATAAGTAGAGTTATCATATCTCAGGATTTTTGAACTCTTCCCAGAAATGCAGTCGGATTTTACAAATATCAGGAAATTCTAATAAAATATACTACAATTTAAAGATCGCAATAAAAGGTTATACAAACTTAAAATAATCTTTGATATTATAACCCCCCCACCTCCCCCCACTATAAATGAAATGAATTTGAAGTAAATTTAAGAGAGAATTCCGACAGTGCAACAAAATTTCAGAATTTATCGTCTGACTTTTCTCAACTATAAGCTAACAATAGTGCTGTAGTGTAACATTGTACATACTAGTGGGTGCAGGCGGGTTCGCGTACAACGCGGGGGAGCCGCGCTCCCTCTCGCAGCTGTCCACGCTTTCCCCACTGTTGTTGGCCTCCCCCCCACAACACCTGAATATACATAAATATTAAATTCAATAAATATAATATAAAATTACATACGTAGCTAAGATTCCAAGATAAGTACAGAGCATCTACGACAACGAAGGTACCACAACACCCAGACACGATACAATATAGAAAAGTACATTTTCTACATCGACCAGAGGCCTAATTGTCCAATTTTAAAATCATTTGAAAGACATTCACGAACTTCACACCACCATTATTTGACATGTGCTGGCGATTGTGTTTACGAAAGATATTGAATGAACGATATCGCTGGTATGACGTTAACAGAAATTGTCTAAATATTACTTTAAGTTACTAAGTATACATTATGCTTCTTGAACATTGAATTCATCCTTCGCTCCGAAAGCGAAGTAAATAATTACATAAATCACTATATATAGGCCACCGGCACTACATGTCTTATTCCCTCATGTGTAAAGAATCACTTCGTATCAGCTCTTTTTTTAAACCTTCCTTCGACTGCGACAAACATTTTAAAATCGTTCTCTAGTTTTAGTGAAATAAACGAACAGCAATCGATTTTTAGTTTTTTATATATGTCGCATCATCATTACGAAGATCGTTTGATTTAGTTTATTTTATTTTAATTGCTAGTTACTCGATTACTTAATTACTCGATTGTAAAGAGAGCGTGATCATCGATACTTTTAATTTTATTAGAATGGTGACACTGACTTTGACAGTTCGTTTATAAAAACCAAGTTGCCGCTATTTTGGCACACATTCTGTTTCCGATCGCCGAGGAGTAAAGACATCTGATGACATCACGCTCATCTCGTTATATTTTCGTACGATAAGTGATAAAATGGAACAAATCCACGTCGGTACACACGCCTGCAATGTTATTTTAAAGATAGTCCCCTGATACGGACAATCTATTTGAGCTTCGTTATAGCCCCTTCGGACTACCCGCCGTTATATATATACAGATTTATGAATTCAGTGTTGTTCCCATAGAAAAAAATATTCAGTATGTTCAGTTTATGAGTTCATCCACCTTCTAAGATATACACAATATTTTATTTGATTTCGCTTGAAATGTGTTATTTTTCGATTGTAAGAATTAATTTTCAATAATTATAAGTTATAAGTGAAAGTTTTACATAATATGGTATGACGGATGACAGCACGCAACGTTTTTGCTTTTGGCCACCATGAGCGCTGCTATATACCTATTACGTTACCCCTACCTAGTACTTCGCACGAGTGGCGGACCAACCTCACCAGAGGCCCGGGGCGGCCATAGGACCGTAGAAACTTGATATTGCATTTACACCCCACCTTCCCCTCCCACCCGAAAAACATATGTTAGTCTACAACCATTTGGAGCCCTCCCTCTCCCCTTAATCCGCCACTGCTTGCGCTCAGCCAACAGATGTACTCGTATCATTATCGTAATATGTCAACAGAACATCACTCACCCGACTGGGTGTTGCTGACCCGGTGACGTGTCAGGCGTATCAACACATTCTGTGTCTTCAGCGCTGGAATAGGAGTTATAGAAAAATAAATTAATTCTATTTTAATACTTGTTTATTCTTTAAAAGCTTAAAGTTATCGGTTTTTGCATTTTTATATTTTTCGTTGCTATTAAAATTAATATTACTACAACATACCTATAAAAATATTTTCTTAGCTATTGATTTCATTATCCACCCATAGATGGCGCGTGCATAATTCTGCATCACATTAGTGTTAACGAAATGGTAGGATTATAATTTAAATTTTGTAATTTTTAGCTGTTGGTCATCCTACATGAATAAATAAATAAATAAATATTCATATATTATAACCAGTGGTCGGAATTAGGTAGAGTTATTCATGTACTTACACTGATTTCATACAGCGAAAGAATATAGTGGATATGCCTCAAATCCCGAGATTAATTTTAAAGACCAGAAAAAATCCCGTAATTTTTTAAATAAAAAGTTATTTACTTTTACACAATTTAAACTACTGCACGCACGACGTTGCCAAACTTACATCAATGACATCGGATGTCCAAAGATGTCCAAGATTGTCCATTAGAAATCCCGGGAAGGTCCACATTAATATCAACGTTTCGATGCAAGTACATAAAAAAGTCTACCTAATTCCGACCTCTGATAATCATACATCGTCCATGAACTACACAAGATTAGATATCACCTATTAGATATCATCGATACTTTTAATCGATACCGTATCGGTCATGAGTAGAGATGCAAGTTTAATATAAATATCCATATATCGAGTTCTATGTATATCGGTTAAAATCGATATCGATGTCTTCACAAAGCCGATATATCGACATTGAGCATTCATAAGGGAGGCCTGAGCTCCTGCAGGGGGGAAGTAACAGGGCTGATTATATAGATAGATATAGCTTACGTAAGTGTGGGCGGGGGGGGCGCGGGCTCCTGGGGAGTCGGCAGCTCTGATGGACTCAGCGCTGAAGATGTGTCATTCTGTACAAATAATAAACAAAATCTTAAGAATCAGTTTTGAATAAAGTAAGAGAGGAAATGTAACGTGTGTATTCCCACATCAGTGATCAAGGTGTCGTCTCTGAGATCCCGGGTTCGATTTTCGGTCGGGTCAATGTGGAAAATGTACTTTTCTATACATATTGTCTGGTCTGGATGTCGTGGTACATTTATTGTCTCGGATACTCCATAATACGTAGCCTTTAGCCATTCATCTTGGAATCTGAGCAATTGTGTAGGGGAGGGGGTGGGCGAGAAAAAAAACTCATAATTAAGACCAAATTTAATCAACGAATTATAAAAATCGTCTCAAATTGGAACACGTTTCAACTCTAGTCTCCAGTGCTCCAGTATACCAGTATCCAGATGGGTTTCAAGACCAGAACAATGGTTAGAACAAATTAATTGAAGCTTCTATTTATATAAAATTCAAGTTTTAATACTAAGTGAACACTTTTATTCTATACCAGCTGTTTCCGCCTGACTTTGCCCGCATAAATTTAAAAAACGGTCCAGTAGTTTTGGCGTCTATTCCATGGAAAAATAAACAAACATTCAAATTTTTTCTCTTTATAATATTCGTACAGATAAAATGGGAAAGCGATTTCGTTTTATACTATAACTAGCTTTCCGCCAGCGGCTTCGCCAGCGTACTATTGTATTATACATAAAGTCCTTCCTTTGGAATCTTTTGTAAAAGTTTAGACGTTATATATATTTGTCATATGTCCCTTAGCAGTTTGTAAGGAACATTGGCAGAAATAAATAAAACATTGCAATATTTCACATGACATCTTTCGGACTTATGGATCGAAACCTTAGTTTCAGACCAATTGAATGAACTCCGTATTACATTTTTCCGAAAATACTACATAATAAACTATGAACCAATAAAAATATCTTAAAATGGGATATATAAGCTATCAATTCTATTTATTTTGGTATAAATGTGGCTTATTAGGTTTCCAATTCACACCATAATCTCTATAGAGGTAAATATTTAAATAATCAGTTTAAAGAGTGTTATTCTGAATATAACTTAATGTGATTGTTGCTTTAGTGTATAATTACTAGTTTATATTTATTATAAATAAATTTGTTGTTTTGCAAATTTTTTTTTTTTTTTTTTTTATAAAATTGTATGTGAAATTGTGACCTGTCTTCCAAAATAGGACAATAATATTATATAAAAAAGCCTCATCAAAATCCGTTGCGCAGCTTTAAAGATATAATCATACACAGGGATATAGGGACAGAGAGTTTTATACTATGTAGTGATGAATGATTTATAAATTCATTAAAGAATAATTTGATCTCCAGCAGGGCAATTCTGCTAGTTTTGTCATAACTATAATAAATATATCGGTCACCAATGTGTGGAGGAGACATTGCACTAATAATATTGGACTTCAGGTGATGCGATTGTTACTTAAACATTAGCTGAATTGAGGACTTCTATAAAAATCTGTACCCGAATTCGAATTCACTCATGTATCATGTGTCTTTGTGTGCGCTTCTACAATAAGGCCCCAAGCAAAATACAACAATTAGATATCATGCAGTTTAAATCTACTATTAAAATAATACTTATTAAAAAAGCTTATTATAAGGTATCCGATTATATAACAGATAAGAACGCTTGGACTTGAGATGATCCAGCAACTGGATAGGTGATTACTTCTGAACTCATTATCTTGTTTCCATTATTATTAAATGATTATGTTATCATTATAAGACCATGGTTTTTTTTTCTATCTCTGTTTATAATGTATTGATCTGGTAATGACATAGTTTTTGTAAATGTCATTACTCCTATTAGAGCTGGTGAGTTTCTTGCTCGTTCTTCTTATCAGCCAAAAGACGTCCTGAACGAGTGGTAGGGAAAAAATGTTGGACGATCCAAAAGTACTTTTAAGAAGTCTATCCGAATAAAGATTATTTTGACTTTGACTTTTGACTTTGCGGGGCTGGTGTCAATGTTCATTACCTGTTCAGTCCTGGAGTTGTCGGCGTCGTTGTCCAGCTCGCCGGCCGGCTGGGTGGTGGACTCGCATTCATCTGTAACGTACAACAGGTTCCATCACTCTCTCAGCTTTATATTGGACTAGCTATGCCCGCGACTGTACCGCGTGGTAAGTACCCTAAGTTGCTCCTTATTACACAAGTTATCAGTCCAGCCGTTTTAGAGATTAAAAATATATATTTTGGTATATGTACCGCTCGGTGGCGTAGTGGATAAGCGCCGCGGCCCGCGATAGTAGTCGTTAAGCAACTTTCACAAGGATCGGTCACGGGATGGGTGACCAAAATATTATTATCTCGAGCTACTCCGTGCTTCGGAAGGCACGTTAAGCCGTTGGTCCCGGCTGCATTTGCAGGACGTTAATACCCTCCAATCCGCATTGGGCTAGCGTGGAGGGTCATGGCCCATCCTCCTTAACCATCCATAAGGAAGGCCTGGGCCCCTGCAGTGGGGACGTAAAAGGGCTGGTGATGTGATGATATGTACCGCATATCATATGCATTTAGTAAAAGTTATTTCAACATTACAAACAGACACTCTAATTTTATTTATTTGTATAGATAATGTAAGGGGCCTTATTATCTAATTTTAAAATTTATCACAATCTCTTGCAACTTGACATTTGAAAGATATTCGCGAACTTCACGCCACAACTATTCGACATGTGACAGCGAATGCGAAAGCGAAGTTTTTTGATAGAATATTAAAAGAACGATATCGTTAATTTGACATTAACTTTAGATGCAAATATCTATGAAACCTATTGAAAAATGTCAATTGAAAGAGCTGAATGCTAACAGCAATCTTTCCGACGGGTTCCTAACTTAAGTTTTTTTGTTTTTTGATCATTCAAATCATAATTTGTAGCAAAAGCAATTGCTGCTTTCAAAGATACGTCATTCCATATATCGCTGTACCTTTGAAAGGATTTTGAAATTAATTAGGCCACACTTTCTGTAAAACAAACGCAGTAAAGTAGGGATCATCAGTAAGGAAATAAGAAAAAATCGTGCGTAACGATATTGCCAGTTGAAAGTGATTTTTGATTTGGTTCGGACATGTATCATGACACAAATGTCTGGTAGAAAACTGCATGCTACTCGTACAAGTTGACATGACACATAAAGTATGTCCTTACTTAAAGTACTCTTTAATAGTTTTATGTAACAATGATATTTCTAATTTAATAATTTTGACATACATATATCCAATGTAATTTTATCAATATTTGCATGCTATAGTTGATGGCTAAATGGGCTGAACTCAAATTTTAATTCAATCTACGATGTACCTCATTTAAAAGCAAATAAATCATTATTATTATTATTATTATTATTATAAGTTCGAAATGTTAAAACGACTCCAAAGAAACGCAATTTTCTACAATTTATAATGCAACGGAGGCAAGAGCTGACTATGCCTCTGATACACAGATAATCTTCACGTATACGATTTTAATAAAATTATAAGAATTGTTGGTAAAAAACGAATAGAATAGGCCTTCAGGTGTCACGTTAATTCGTAGAAGTTACACTGATATACGACAAGAAAGGAGAAGGACGTAGAAAGCCGGCAAATACCGGAACACATATCTAATAGTAAAAGTGATAGCGTGTAGTGGGAAGCTGATGTCAGAAAACACAGAAGCCGACTAGCATGCAAAGTTTTTTAATAATGCTTCCAACAAGTATGGGCGTTCCCATCATTTCCCTTTAGTTTGCTACCTTCTGTATAGATCTTCGCGTGACTTTCCGTAAGTCTACCATCCTCCTCGGCGTGATTGCTACCGGGATGCTTCGATCTCTTAACGCAAGCTGCATGTGGTTTTTACGGTTTACCTAATAAAGCTGGCATTCTTATTGGATTCTGACGTCGACTAGAAGCAGCCGCGACAAGGAAACCGTTCTAACAGACTTGCACATTCTCTATGCAAAAACCCTACCTGGATGACTACATTTGTATAAAGTTATGACAATAAGATAATCTTGTTTGTAGATCTTAAACTTCACTACTCTACAAGGGATCTAATATCGTATTATTTGGCAAACAAGCCAACTCCAAATCAGCGAAGCAAAAAAAAGAAGCCCTCGCCGAGTTTCTTTCCAGTTCTTCTCGGTACAACTTCTCCCGCCGTAGCTTTATGAACCGATAGCATAGAGTTTCGATTTTCCCAAGTGCTTGTAACAGTCTAGACTGATGATATTGATTCGGTGTATTACCCGACAGTTCCTCCTCAGGTATAGCAGCGGTTTGCTTGTGCGCCGCCCGCCGCCGGACCAGTTCAGCTATGACCCCGTGCAGTTCCGCGAGCCTGGCGTCGTGGGCTCTAGCCGCGGTGGCCGCCCTCTGCCTCTCCGCCGCTAACGCCCTCGCTAGAGCGTCGCGTTCAGCTCTCAAAGTGGTGACGTCATCACGACCGCTGTTCTCAGATGCTACCTGTAAAGATAAGATTTTTTATGAGCTTCGGTGTAGTTATAAGCGCTGCAACACTCAGAGTAATATATAGTGATACAAGAACTGTTAATCTACTTGATAAAAGGGAATACGGAAACGACGATGAACATTAAACATTAGGAACAGAGGATATTTTGAGAGCAGCAGTGGTGGATAACCAATATTAATAATTCAATACAATAGTTCGTTAATAACATAGTGCACTAAGTATCGTATGCCGTAAGTCCACCGGTGCATAAGAATCAATTTATAGGTACACTTCTGAGCTAACAAAGCTTAATTCTAATCGGTTTTTCAGAGTTAAAATGCTAAACGAATCAAAATACACATCGCAAAATCGAGACCTTGACCGCGTAACTCACCAAAACATTAAACCCATTCTGTCCAGGAGCGGGCGGTGCTGTTACAGGCCTCAAACTGGAGTATCTCCAAGAGGACTCTCTAGAAATCTCCTCATCGGCAACGTTCGGACAGCAGAGGTACCAACTCCTGCTGCGTCGCACACCGGACGACGCGTCCAGCTCAGTCAGCGGCAACCTGCCGACTACCTCCAGCTCCGCTAGTAACGGTTCCTTCTCCTTCGGTTCGGGCATAGGGAATGTCCCAGCTGTCGAATATGTCTCCTCCACTTTCCTGCCATTTTCGGGTATATTGTACTCCGGTAAACTCCACTGTCTATCTCTCAGCGGAGGGACTTCTCTCACGGCTCCGTCATTGATTACTTCATTTGATTCTACATATTCGCTCAGTTCATTCGGGTCTTTCTCAATAGGGTCAGGTTTGGTCCTCTTGAGTTTCTCCAAGTCAGCGTAATAGTAAGCAGTCGAGCGAGGAGGCTCGACGCTCTGAGTTCTGATTCCAGCCAGGGTGTTGCTGTTCATGTCATGGTGGGAAACTTCAAGTCAGAGTTTAAGTGTTTCCGGGGAAGTTTTACGTCTCTTTCACATCATTTTTAAGCTCAAAAGTTCATGTATCTTCAAATTAGTATGGTAGTTTCTTCTATTTATTAGGTTCACGGGTTTGAATGAATAAAAATAAAGATTGAGGTATGGATTTCACGCAAAATTATTTAATTTTAAAGATAAATGTAATATATTTACTCCAAATATATTTTAAGGAAAATAAATCAGGAACAGTCAATACTGATCCATACCAAGTTATCTGCAATTAATTAAGTGTTTTAAGCACTCGCCCACCAGAAAATGGGGTGTTACATCTGTCACATCTACACTGACATAGTGATCCATTCTGAATCAGGATATATCCAGAATTCCAGATCCCATATCCACAAAAAGTGTATGCAAAACTCGCAATCTTATGAATATTGTTAATATTTTTACGTTTGTATTGGCGGAGATCGATGGCACAGTATTTAGAGCATTTGGTTTGAAATACGGAAGTTCAGGTCATGCATTGCCCTACGATTATACGATTTATATCTTCTATACTAATATTATAAAGCTGAAGAGTTTGTTTGTTTGTTTGAACGCGCTAATCTCAGAAACAACTGGTTCGAATTGAAAAATTATTTTTGCGTTGAATAGACCATTTATCGAGGAAGGCTTTAGGCTATATAACATCACGCTGCAACTATTAGGAGCGAAGAAATAATGGAAAACGCGGACGAAGTCGCTGAAGATATAACTATTAATTATAAATCAAATCACTAGATGGCGCTGTTAGCTTATTTATATCTTTTTATTTCGTAATTGATCGTTAGATGGCATTGTTCTTGTTTTATTGACATCTTTTAATCTTCTACTCTATGCATCTGTTTCGTGTAACATATCAGTGACGTCATGAATATGACGGACAGCGTGTTCGCGGATATAAAAATAGCTTGAATTTTTGATTCAATTTTAAGGCAATAAAAAGTGTTTATTTTACAAAAATATTTGTTTTATGGCTTTTTTTTATTAAAATGAACATTTAGAAGATTTTTTTCAAACGGAGTAAAACACCCTATTACGAGTATTATCAGTTTACAATATTCTTAATACATAATACTCCAATAATTTAGCTAGAAAAGTTTTTGTACGATAGCAGAATCATAGATCGATTTTGAAAAGATCGACCTTTATGTCATCGATTTTGAGGAATGACGAGTGGGTAAAAAAAAAATGCAATTCTATTTAGTCCATCAGTCAGATAATAGAAAAATATTAGATACGTATATTTTTTTACTTCAATTTAACAAAAAATAGCTTAGATAACAGGCATTAAAGTTGAGGAGTGGGGGCTCGCTACGTCACAGTTGAGTAGAAAACGTACTCTAACGTGACGTCATGCGAAATTTCAACTCAATGTAACGCCGTAATTTTATGATTACGAAAGAAATTAAAAAATACGCGTTTAATATTTTTCAACACTCTACTTGAAGGACAAACAAAAATTAGTCAGTTAGATAAATCCCTATTGTTAATGAAGACTTCGATTGGAATTAATTCATAAGATCGATTCTTTTGCTATAGATAGGAAACCCTAACCTTCGCTAGAGAGGCACTATAAGAAAAAGAATAGTATCGAAAATATACTGCCATCTGCGCTATGATTCTGTAAAAAATCCAAACCCGAATTCGAATTCACTCAGGTGTTTACGAATTCACTTCAAAAGCGGCATCCGCTCAACCTTCAATTGGTAATAATGTACCGTGGCATAAGTGAAGTGAGTTACGAAATGACATAGTGATAGAATATCTGAGACACCTATCATTTTTTTGTTTTTTTATACAAAAAATGGAAAATTTAGTTTATTGATTCCATGAGTGAATTCGAAATGGTTCGGGTATGGAATCGCTCCCCAGTATAAAAACATAAAGAACCTGTCTTTGTCTCAGACGCGCAACTAAACAACTCCAGTAATAGCTCTGTTGACAAATTCTTGATCAACAACCCCTCAATTTATTTCGAAGCTTCCGTCAAAGTAATTACAACTCTATTTCTAGTTCAATAAAGAGCAAAGTCCAATAACATTTGCCGGACGAAAATTTACAGACAATTTGCCGGCCCACCATCACACATTCGTGACATTATATGACTCATTGCGGAATATACCAGTGAATTGCTACAAAAAAAATTTACTCTTTACTTCCATAAATTAGGGGCGGGCCCATTGCGGATCGATAGGTGTCAACAGCTATGGTTGTAGCCAATACCTCAGTGTTTAACTAGGATTCCGAATTTAAGAAATTTCAGTTTTAACCAGCAATCCGTACTAGCTCAGACACTAACACCGTGATATAATTCTCTCCAAGGATAAGGCATTAACGTGTATGCGTAGCAACGGGGACACTTATAAGATTCTGGTGTAAATATCGGTCACCCATCCGGTTACCAACCTCCGAGAAGGTTGCTTAACATCGGCAATCGAGATTATCTTCGACCCTATCCACATTCCTAGTGTAGATCATCAAATCGGGCGGAAAATTCGCAAGTGTAACGCCCTCCCCCGCGGCGGTATAACAACAGGAAATTATACTGTACGATTTCGGCGACTTGGCAGAATGCCAAACTGGCTTCCCGACCATTAGAAGAACCCTCATACAGAAAACTATAATCGGTCAAGGAAACGGAAAGAAATAAATGAATGGAAGACCGTAGGAACTGTGTAGATGTATGACGTAACCAATGAATCATTCAAAGAGATAATTAGAAGAAAAAAATACAATCCCTATTCAGAAATCAGAGGCCAGTCAAAAAAGATGCCAAGACGATCAAGTTGACCGCGTATTAGTCGATGTCGATATCGGTTATCTACGACGTGGAAGTTAAGCAGCCTTCGCAATGGTCTGTTACACGATGGGTGACCGATTTTTTTTCTCTCGTACATTCCTTCAGTAGCACGCACGTATCAGCTGCATCTGCAGTCGTTAATACCCTCCAAACCGCACTGGGACGCACGATAGGTGATCGTTACGTAAAAAAATTGCAAAATCGAGGCCCTGATCAAAGGCAAAAAAAAAAATTGTACGATACAATAAACAAACCAACTTTCATTATCGTATTAAATATAGGTAGCTACAATTTTACACGTGCCCGCACATTACGTGATCTATCCTACGGATACAGGGTGATATAAAATCTTGAGCACGGTCAAGGTCTTCCCCCGCCGAGGGGTGTGCACCCCCCGCGCGCCACCCTGCAGACGTTACACCGTCGGCTGAACGGCTGAATCACCGGGTTTTTTAACTCTTATTACGTGACAAGCGTTTTGTCCCGGTTAAAGGATTGAGCTATTAACATAAGACGTACGAACCTATATATAAATAGACTTAATGATCCACCTCTTTATAAAACTACATGTATGTATATTTGTAACGTTTGTCTTGTCTATTTCGTCCTAGGTTTCAGCATGCATACTTTTTGTCTTTGATCTACAAAAGTATATCTTTTTATCATCCATCTTTCGTAATTTGAAATTTTGACTAATTAAGGGTATATTCCGATATACACTGCGAGCACTGCGCAGTGGTCTTACTGCTGAAAAATCCGTTCCGTTATGGACTGCCAGTACACTGCTACAGTACCTTAGGGAAATTCATGACGTCATGAATTGCCGCCATATCTGTACTGTGAGCACTGGAGATTTCGAGGTAAGGTGCTCGCAGTGCTTTTGATCACGTGATCAGTCGAAACAGAATCAGAAAATGATAACTTTCTAAATAAACAAAAAAAAAATACTTACGTTTATTATAAGATGGATTTGATTGATAAATAATTTTTTTATACAATTTACCAATTTTATAATATGTATTTTCTTTTGAAAAGAGGGAATCTTTATATTTATATCCAGCTTGCATTAACAAATTTGAAAAAGGCGCCAAAAAATAGGATTAACAGTATACTGGACTGCGTTCCGTTTTAAAAAGTCACCAGTATAACTAGCTATAAAGGAACGGGCTTCCAGTATACTAAATTGACGTCATACTGTTCAGTGGTCGCAGTGTATATCGGAACATACCCTTAATATGCTCTTTATGAATGTCAGGTCATAAAAAAATCATCTGGTGTGAACATGTTATTGCAATCGTATAAATTTAAATATATAAAATATTATAATAATGCAGTTATTAAGATTAAATTAGAAATTATATCTTGAAATATCGTCCAAATTTACATATTACAGGAAACTTAAAAAGGGGTATGTATCTGTTCTATTTAGAAATTCTAATTTTATATTTAGGTAATTTGCGAACTGTTTTTTATATTGACTTTTCTGTTTGTTACAGTTTTTCCTTTATCCTTTACTTTATTACCATAAAATAAATCAATTCTCAAGCTTAGTCAGCCTTTCATTAATTCGCCCAAGCATCGAACCCGTCACATATTTAACCCCAAAAAAGTGAGCAATGAGGAAGTTTGTGGCGAGCTACCCGCTCCAATTTTATACTTGGGCAACCGCCCTACATTTCGACGAAGAAACGCTCCGCTTATGCGCTTTGGGCCAGCGGCGATGACTGACGTCACGCATTACGTAGCTCGCCGGGCGTATGCGCATCCTTGTCGCACGCGCTCGCTTCGTGATGATGCGTGCCTGCTCGCGTCGTCGCGCCGTCGGCCGAACAAGAATGACTCTGCATATAGCTTTGCTTGCGTACGACCGTCACATTTCTATTAATTTATAATCTGCTTACTTTTGCTATTTTATACAATTCTTTTCTTGTAATTTAATTCTAATCTGTGTGTAAATAATATATCCTTCATTCTTAGTGCTTGTGCTTCTTTTCCTTCTCGTGAACTGTGTTGTTTTGTGCTGTTAAATTGAACATTCTTATCGGGTTCGACTCCCGAAATTTATGTGGGATTACTTCATATAATATCCTACATCTGGTGACCCCGACGTGATCTGAACACGCAACCCTTGCAGAACACGGAGGAAAAACCTATTTTGAGAAGGAGGATTGTTCCACGGAAGATATTGGATAAAACGGTCGGTGGTTTAAAAAAAACGGTGAGCGATTTTAAATTTTTTTTTCAACGATGAGTCACGGTGAAGATTTTTTCGAGTGCAAAGAGGAAGTTTTACGGGTAGGTGTTAGAGTACCACCTTTTTGGCCAGAAGAGCCTGCTTTATGGTTCGCACAGGTAGAATCACAATTTGCCTTATCAAAGATAACCAGCGATGAAACTAAATTTTTTTACCTCGTTGCACAATTGGACCATCGGTATGCGGTCGAGGTAAAAGA